TCTGTAATTAGGGGATTGATATTGACTCAGTTCTCTTATTTGACTGTTGAAATAGATGAAACAGAGTGCCACGAAGAAATAATAATAATAATCCTTGCATTTAATATAGCGACTTATCACGTCTTCGAGACGTCTCAAAGTGCTTCACAGAATATACTGTAAAGTGAATTGAAATGCAGCAGCCAATTGCGCACAGCAGTGTCCACAAACAGTTGTGGATTGAGTCATTTAGAAGCTCTAAATAGGAAGATATTTGGTTAAACCAATTTCCGATTAAAAACATAGTAGTGTTCTAAGGATACACATTCAGCACTTGTAGTGCTTACAGCCACACTAAGAGTTTCTCTGGTCCCCAAGTATAGTTACTTTAACGTTGTGCATCAGCAATGGGAAAGTCCCATTCTGAATGGACGTAGTTACACCAGATACACTCAGCAGCAAGTGGAATATCTCACTCAGGGTGATTTGGTAATGGTGCAGTTGATATCAAACTATATCAATGCTGCCACTAGCCACGGAAGGAAGGCAAGAAGATCATACTTTGTGAAAATCCTATACTGAGTTGGATGCGCTAATTCAAGAGGTTTCCTCTTATAAATATGGAAAGCCATTTAATATGTCGTATTTGCAAAATGTTAATTGCTATTTTCGAATGCCAGCAAAAGTATGAGAAAAAGTTGGAAGGTAAAATAATGAATATTGCACATTAGATCCAGATGTTAAGATGAAGTAGTCTTTAAAAATATTAAAAATATATTAAAATATACAAAAAACACCCCAAATCCCTCCCCCATCAAAAACAATCTATTGATGCTCTGGTCCATTTTAGTTCTTGGTAGCTGATGTAATGCCAAGCCTCTCACTTTCTGTGTAAAGACTTCCTGAATTAATTGCATTTACAGCTTAAACAAAAGAAGGCTACTCTGGCAACCGTGAACAATTCCTGATAAAAGTCAGAGGTTAATTAATCAGGTCAAAGACCTGGAAGACGCACTTCTGTCTGTCTGTTGCAGATGAAACAGAAGAGAATGGGACTTTAATAAGTTTGCAGGGCTATGGGGAGAGAGCGGGGGAGTTGGATTGATTTGAATAGCTCTTTTAAAAGAGCCAGCACAGACACGATGGGCCGAATGACCTTCTTCTGTGCTGTATAATTCTGTGATCATCTGAACAATACTTCAATTAAAGCAGGATTCAACAATGAACAAATACTGGACCACAGGTGCATGCAATGCACTCATTTAACTCTGGGAGTTGTAGTTTCTGTCCCGTTGGTTACAAAACCATTAATGCTTGCAATTGATATGCTAATCGAGTGTCTGATCTCCATAGGTAAGTAATGACAGCTTATCTGTGCCAGCACCATCCCAGCAATGAGATTAATGACCATATTTACCTCTTTTGGTGAATTTGGCTGAGAATGATTGGCCATATTACAGGGAGAATGTTCTCCTTTTCGAATTGTTGCCACAAGATCATTCACAACCAACTGAACAACCCAGGCAGGCAGGTTGATCTCAGTTTGTCTCAAGGACGGCACTCCAGGGAGTGCCATGCACCCTCAGAGTTGCACTGCCTGGCAGCACAGGTAAGCAGCGCAAGTTCTGTTGTGAGGCTGGAACCCACAATTTGCTGATCCAGAAATATTCATGGATGGTGGAAAGCTGTGCAAAATGGCCAACGTGGTTGTCAAGGGCAACGTAATCTGAAACATCTGGACCCCATGCCATGTTTGTGAAAGGCATGCCTGAGGTGACTTTGATGTTTTCGGATCTCTCTGTATGACAGTTGTACAGGTTATGCTTTTTTGAGGGGCATGGAGAGTCAATAGCTCCAGGGACCTACACAAAGCAACATTTTTTATAAATGTTCACACATGTAAAATAAATGAGCTGTATTAACCGCACCTCATTTATCACAATCAACATCATCTCTAGTATAAATTCCCTCCAGCTCAAGAATAGATTTAAGGGTTTGCATATATAGAAGCTAGACACTTTAGAGTATAACCTGTTCATTTTGCACCTTTTGGTTTGGGAGGATGTTTCAAAGCGCTTCACAGAATTTAGTGTAAAGCGCCGAGACTGTATTTTGTGAGCAAATGTGCAGTCAATTTAAACCCTAAAATGTCCTAAAAACAGCCATGAAGTGAATGATCAATTTTATCTGGGAGACTGTGGCCACGACACCAGGAGACACCCTTCACATTTGGGATCTTTAACGTCTGTCTGAACGGAACTGAAGTTTGACACCTCACCCAAACGATATTACACTTCACTGCATCTGCTTTTACCTCCCAACATTGAATGAGTGCCTGTTGTATGCACCCTGCAATTCTACCGAAATATTGCAGAAGCTTTTTACCCCACAAATTCTCTTCACTATTACTGAAGATTACTATAAGGGTGGCAGAGGATCTTAGCCCCCAGTGACCAGTAATGAGGTCTCCGTTATTTCCTTCAACATCAGGGTGTACGTTGTCATCCGAAACCTGAAGCCAACCTTTTAGGTGGGGACCACAACCTCCAGAGGCAGCAGCCCACTTGTTTTACAACAATGCTGTCACAGTAGAGGCTGCCTCTGGAGGAAATGAATGAAGGTAAAAGCAGCACACAATATCGCTTTCTCTTTAAACTGGAAAGTGTGGCTGAGCGGTTCTGGCAGTGGCCCAGTGCACTGTCATGGAGGGAGTACTTAAGATTATCCCCATTACAGGTTGTTGATAAATTTGATCAACCTGCCTCGAGTTCCAGACATGGAGAGGGTGAACATTGGGGTAAAGCAGTTAGTCTGGGCTAGCCCCACACTCTCACCTGCCCATCAGAGGGGATGATATTGGCAGCAATGAAAACCAAGGGGTAAACATCAACAACAAGATTGCATTTACAGAGCGCCTTTCATATCGGGAGGACGTCCCAAGGCACTGTAAAGGGGCAACACCAGACACAAAAATACAATGAAGAGATTGCGTCAAGTGAAAGTGAAGAAACTAGACCCAAAATTGATGAATCTCTACATGGGGGTAACCAATTCATTGGGCAAGCAAGTTACAACTGCATACAAAGTGGTAGTGGAATTTTACGTGGAACCGAGAAAGGTTTATTATGCGCATATCAGTCAATTTACTGAACTTTGGTGATATGTGCTTATAATCGGATTTTGTATCATATGGTCCAAAGTCAAATTTCACACAGCTAGAATGATGTTCATGTGCAGGTTTGAAGTGCGCCCCCTGGGTTTATTGAGTTTGCCCCAATTTGGCCAGAGCCAAATGACCAAGCTGTTCAGGATATGTCTAGTTTGTGTTTTAATTGTAAAGGTCCGACAGGAAATGTTCAGCATCAGCTGTAAATGCAAACAGTGTTGCTCGTTCGTCTGTTGAACAATTGCACACAAAGGAGACCCTTCCACAACTTCAAAAAACTTGGGAAAGTTTAATGACAGCTTTGTATCAACAGACCTGGACAGGTTTTACGACTTCATAGCGGAAACCTATTTTTAAAAGGAACCATTAAACTGCTCGTGAAGAAAATTATTTTGTATCCCTTTGCTTTTCAGTTTAAATAACCTTCATTATAATTTTCCCAAGTTTCCAAACTGTTAAAGTCACACTAGGCATCGAACAAGTACCTGGCACTCTTGTACATCTCCAAATAAGAGTCATTTTAAATTAAAATCTTTTGTGCAGTTTGCAGCTTTCTTCTGCACACTTGAAAATATACACCATTGATCTGTTTGGGGATTTATGATAGGGATTGTGTTCCTGTAGGGGATTCATCACAAATGAGATCTTCAGGCAATGAGGATAAAGTTATTAATTCCTGAATGAGTCAGTGATATATTTACAACATATCTAGTAAAAAGTGATCATTTTCATCTTTTATACCTACAGTGTTATTCGTAGAATCCTCTTTACTAACCTAGAGTTATACAATACATGGAAATCAATTATATTCATATGGTGCTTTTCACAAAAGGAGAACATCTGTACTTTACACAGCTGGTTGGGCACCTGAGCCGATGAGTGGGGCAAGATAGGGAAGGTGATCAGAAACACGGTCAAAGAGGCAAGTCTTAAGGTGGGCTTTGAAAGTGGAAAGACAGGGAGCGAGTTGGATTGACTCCAGGACAGAGTTCCAAAAAACGAGGGCAGAATTGTTGAAGGAAAGCTTTCAGTTTTCTCCATAAATCCTGTTGAAATTCATCCTCTGCAACACATTTGCAGAAACCCTTTCCCGTTTCCCTTCAATCAGTTCCATTTCCAATCTCATTGTCAGATGACCCCCCTCACACACTCCAAAAAAATTCAATTCAAAAACAGATCAAGTTTTTGTTTCTTCAAATGACCTTTTTCCAAAAGAGGATACATTTCTAATTTAAACCAATTCTTGGAATAAGAAAACATTTTAAATATCAAAGTTCTTCCCGGCTTTCAAGTTAGTGCATTCATACAGAGATGGATCCATTAGCGAGAAACCAATTAATATCTGCTTTGAACTGTTCATAAGCAGAGGCCATTGTACATGTTGGATATTGCTACTCTTCTTGTTTGTTTCAAGTCAGTACAGCACCAATTTGGATGTCTGTTGTGTTTCATTTCTTGTATTGTGCTATTATTATAGTATTATTTATTATTATTATTCAGCAAGCTATTAAAATCTCTGTCGTGGAAAACAGGGTATTTAATTTACAATGTATTGCTAATAAAACTCACAGTATTGTGAAATGATAAATAAAGAATCAATTGAAAATTAAATTTGATATTTTCCAAACTTACTCCGTCGGAAGTTTCAATTTAGACAAGGCGTTATTGGAAAGGAAGACAGTTTCAATAAACGATTGGCAAATAAATGCATGGCTGTATTTTTCATGATGTTGGTACAGTATTGTTCTCTGCATTAAATCGTGTTTAAGAGTTTTATTTTCCTCTGACTACCAACAATGTGCTTTGTTCAAAGTAAAATATTAAGTGTTGCAATTTTTTTTCTTCCCTTCCACAGCTCGAGACCTGGGAGGCCCCCAAAACGCACCCTGAGTGTAACTTTGCCAGAAAATTCTCGCATCTTGCCCCACGCAGTCCAGAGTCTGTTATCACCAGGAATCATCTCACCAACAGGTAATGAAATCCATAAAATCATCAGCACAGACCTTGTACAGCTCTTCAATTGAAATGAACTAATATTGATTGAATAGACTTGTCCTTCAGGGCCTTTTACACTTAACCCGAGGTTGGAATATTGGATTTTTTTTGAGTATTCATAAAAAACAATGCAAGCTTTGTTGTTGAATGGTTTCAAATCCAATGCAGCTTTGATTTTGCAATTCATTTGCTCAAGATATATTGCCCTTTTCTCCGAAACAGACAAAGCAAGATTTGTTTGACTTGACGGTTAACAAGTTCCAAGGAAGCCAATCTTGCTGAACGGTTGCAATTTTTGACAGTTTAGGATTTGGTTCTTTTAATGGGCATCAGTGTATCTCTATGTCAAACAAAACATTTAATTAAGCTGGATCATGTCTGCCTACAGATTGGACAAACAAAACTATTTCTTAAAAAAAATCCAGAACTGTTTAAGATATTTGTATTTTATTGACACTGATTTCATATCAATGAAACCTTACATTTGGGTGATACTTTGGTTAGTTATATATAATGTATGACTAGATCATTTTTGCAGTCAGAAGAAAATAAATGGATTAAACTTATAATAATACTCATTGAAATGGTCAAATTTGTAATCATACACAGTAACTAAGAATATTAAAAAGTTCACTAAAATAATTCAGAATTGATTTTATAGTGTCTTTAATAAACCAAACCTGAGACATATAAATTTGATAATTGTAAAAGGCTGCTTTTCAGAAACTTATTGTTTTTCATCGTCAGGGACTAACCGTCAAGAAAAGATTAATTTGCTAAAAACCAAAGATTCAGGAAAGTTTCCTAATGTGCTCAACGTACAACTGGGCATAAGTTACTTGGATCTTGAATTCAATCCGAAGATGGTCAAGAGCTGCGATTCTCTAACTCACCTCTCTTCATATACTAAACTAGGACTGTTACTGTATTGGGAATTGTCAAATAGGCTGGGTTTCTGGAACAGCAGTGACAGCCTGCCCTCAAACCATCACCTACAATGCCATAAAGTTAGCTGCTGGGAATTTATTCAGACTATCAGAGATGCTGTAATCTTTTGCACCATGACCCTTTACATTGCAGGGTTTCAGGATTGAACGCAAGCTTTTAATTAAAGTTAAAATGAGGTTTTAATTAATGTTAAACATTTAGAGCAGCAGGCACTTCTGACAATGCACCGTAATCATCATTATCAATGAAACTTGTGGATAGTTTCTGCCTGCAAACACATGAATTGCCCTTGTGAGGGACATGCACCTTTAACACTGCTCAGTTGTGCCATTGAAACTTTCAATGATCTTCAGAATAACCCATCACAAGAGACACATCCACACAGTGAACTGAAGACAGGTCTAGTGCCTTCCTGTCAGGTCATTCCAAAATGGTTCAATCGCTATGCTGTTCATATCCTTACTGAATCTTTAAGATGGTGTTTTTCTCCATTTGGTATGTGAAGGTAGCAGGCATTTTGATACCTTGACATTGCTCATTAAATTTCTTAACAGGTTTGCATAAGGATCTGAAAATATCTTAACAATTCCTTGTCATAGGAGGGGAGCGGGGTGGGGAGGGGGAGAGAGGGACACAAACTAGCAAACTTTTTGACATGATGGTTAAAGCCAGAAGCAAATTGTTGAGAAAGTCCTTGTTTCATATTAACATCTTTAACCCTTTCACCAGCAATAAAGCTGTATGCAAATTTGGTGATAGATTCTGTTGTGAGCAGCACTGACCTAGCGCACTCTACCCTTATTTTGTGCTTGACTAATTCCACAGGGCTGCAATATTTTGCGAGTGAAACGATTGCAATTCAGTAAGGATCTTAACAACAGCTGCAGCTGAGCAGTGCTCTGACAGCATCTAGCTGATTGCCATTGGCCAGGGAGATGGTGAAACAAAATACATTTGACGTGCGAGAACTTAATTTCCTTCTTGCCTAAATTTTTATCAGCGTAATAAAGGAGATTGTCAGCATTTCAGTGCCGGGGCCTTCTCACGTCCAGGCTTAATAAAAAGTGGGGGCCGATTTATTATGAAATATACACTAAACAATAAAATTTCTCAAGGTTATGTAACTAGGCCATTGGAAGAGATGCAGTCTACTGAAGCAATACAGAAAGCATGTTCTAATGTAGGGATGTTACACAAGGGAAGATTCTCTGTCAACAAGGGAGTCATAAACAAGCAGCTGTATCAAAGGTTGCAGTATAGCAGTGCATGATACAATGAAGGGTTACTGTAATGCTGCTTGTTGCATGATAATAATAATAATAGTGGCTTTCAAATGTACCGATCTCCTGTGCTCAAAGGCCCTGAACAGCTGTGGATTTTACTTTGAAAATAATGGAAATTTCTCACATTCATGGGTGGTAATGGGTTAATTCAATGAGCAGTTTCAGAATTGTGACTTCAACTCAATTCAAAGTGTTTTTCTTTACTCCAAAATCCAATATTACTACCCTAAAGCTACTTCATATGAAAAAAGGTGACTTATCCTGTGCTGCTAGGAGCATTTCTACCTACCTGCTGTCATCATGATAAATGACACATCCCATTGTGTCTGCACTCCATCTGGTTTGCCCCAAAACAACTAAAGAGAATTTATCTGCTGCAGTTTTTACACATATAAAATAGGAAAGTGCATCTGAAAATACAACAAAGCAAAGCTTGCCTTCAGCGAGATTGACATAGGTAACAGCAACAACTTTTGTTAACCTTTAAGTGTTTGAAGAGTATTTCTACACCCAAGTTATTAAATATGACAAGGTCACCTTTGGTTGCTAATGACAGAGTGGCTTTGCTTGATCATGTACTTGCGCTTCATAAATTTGGCTACAAAATATCCCTTTTTTCCCCCTGTACACTTGTTTACTAAAAAAAAGCTTATATTTGCAAAAAACAATTGCTGAGATGAAGTATCTAAACCTCAACAGCCACCGTTCCAGATCTGGCCCAATGTCAGTGTTTAAATGGCATTCTTCCCATCATTTTCTCCAAGAACACATCTGACAAAGGTATCCACAAGCTGTTCTTTTGCTCAGTGCCGATTCTCTGTTTCAAGTACGTCACGTGCTCTGTCAGGTGCTAAAACGTACTTTGGTGTTAGCTATCCTACACGTTAGAAATCAGAAAATAAATGTAATACTTAAAGTGAAACTCGTGCTATTGAACGATGGAGAGAAATAAGGGAATGGAAAGAAAAAATTCAGAGCTTCTTTTCAGAGATTAGAATTGGACTGCCTTTCCAGTTTGATTTTCTGAAAGGTTTAGGGTTGTGGCTTTACAGCAAAACAGCACGAGAAAGGCATTTCTGGAGTGAAGAATGCCTTTCTATTATGTTCCTCCATCTTGGCATGTGTTGTAATGATTAATTTACAGGGAAATTCAGATGGTGATTTCGTATCCCACAATATATCCATTTAAAATTCATCCTAATTCCCAATTTCGTTTTTGGTCAGTTTTGGCGTCCGTTACAAATCATTGATGTGCACCAATTGCCAAAGTTCAACCCATTCTGTTGCCGTTGCTTGGCCACTTAATAGGATGGTGTCCATCTCAGTGCAACTGAAGCTCTGACCACTTCTTGTGATATTCCATGAAATTCACGATGGGAAATTTAAAAAAAAACTTTCTGCAGATAATCTGAATATTTGGTGGCCTAGAAATTAGATCAAATTGATCCTTAGTAAATGTGGAAGTTTGCACCTAATTTATTTTTACAGTTACAGATTTTGTTAAAAATTATGATTTGAAGTTATGTTTAAAGTAGTGAAATAGCAATAGTAGAAAAAGTGAATACTTTTGCTCATGAAATCTTCGTAAAATTAAGCATTAATCTGAGCCGTTCTTTTTCGTGAAAGGCATTGTGGAAATACGAATTGTTGTGGACTGGCAGAAAACATCTTGATACACAGTGCTCTTCTGCAGACACTCGGTCCTCAACAGATTAGGATTGACTTGGCCTTTCTCAGCACTGAGCAGGTGACTTGATTACATATAAATCAAGCATAAAATGTCCTGTTCTGGGCGGTGAAGTGAATCAGTCAAATTATCGAGTGGCAAAACTAATTCTGTGCCTTGGGCCACAGAAGCTGCCAGTTCCTATAAGTCAGACCTTCACTCAGTGTAAAATTGTTTTTATTTTATTCTGTTTCATTTAATATGGCTATTCAAGCTAATCCATGCAGTAAACCTGAGCCTGTAGATCTGTCAGAACTGTTCCAGTTACCAGTCTCACCGCAGTAAGTAGCAAGTCCCTCAGAATTAGGCCATTAGTGCTACCAAGAACTACTTTACATGAAACAGCAATCACTAACTCACAGTCTATTATTAGATTAGCTTCATAGGGATTGCTTTCCTTTGCTGTGTGCTGATGCATAAACGACATGTTATTCCCATATAAATCTGATGGCAGAGCAGCCTGACATGATGTTCCTATTCTTAGATTGCACTCACAGACTCAGTGTTGATTACTGCATAATTTTAAGTTACTGTCCTAAATGTTTTCTCTTCGGAGTTCCCGGATAGAGTAATTACTGTATTAGCACTTCCAGTCTAAAATATACTGTTGATTAAGTTGTGCTCCTTTTATACATAATACTATAGATTTAATGGAGGAAGCCTTCATGCAACAGACCACTACTCTGTAAGTGCAATACCGTTCAATATCAAAGCACACTCCAGCCCAGTGCCTTGTAAACAGCTTAGAGGAACATTTTGTGAGACATTTTGGTTTTAACTCCTGTAGTTAAAAAGGTTTTTCTGTGAAACTAAACCATGGTAAGGTAGAAAAATAGTTCAAGGGCCTTTTCTATTACATCAAAGAAGCCAAAATGTATGATGCAATGTTCAATATTATAGAAAGAAATTGACAGTTTACAGAGATTTACTCTGATGATAACATGGATGGGAGGTTAGAGTTATGTGGAGAGACTTAAAACAGAGCTTGTTTCTGTTAGAATGGGGGTTAGTTACGTGAA